TGTAGTGGGAGATTAAATGTATGGATTTCCATCTCTTCATACCAAGAAACTAAAATTAATCACAAGCTATAAATCAACAAAAATATTTTACTTCGTCACCCAGCTTTAAAAAAAATTAAAATGTTATGAATTATATCTGGAAATCAAGTAGCCTATATGTCATATATTGCAAATTAATGTTATGTTTATTCAAGACTTTCAATAATAGCTGAACTTACATTAACAATACACGTCAAATTGAAATCCATTTTTTCAAAAGAAAACAATTTCCAATCAACAGAGGGTTTCAAAGGAAAAGAAGGATCCACTTTGAGCATTTAAAAAAAATTCCATTAAACAGATAAGACTAGGGATGATATACGTAGATAAATTATATATATATATATATATATATATATATATATATATATATATATATACATATATATATATATATATATATATATATATATATATATATATATATATATATATATATATATATATATATATATAAAGCAATATAAAATTCATTTGCTCCTACTGTTTAAGAACGTTACTCTTCTAACAAAAAATTCGCATTAGAATTATTTTTAACAGTAGGTACTCTTAAGTTCAGTAGGCGCTGAATTAAATGTCAAGCATATAAGTATGTGATAAGTTCAATATACCTAATAAACCTGAAGGACGTGGAAATGAATTGAAGGACACATAAACTTGTCCACCTGTTAAACGATTTTGTAATCAATAATTAAATTGAGACAATTTAGGCCAATACATATATTAACATGTTAATAGCTATTAACAATAAATCTTAGAAAAAATACGTGTGTGATATCTATGCATGTTAACTCGCCTGTAATTGTGATATTCTGGTATCGACTCTCCATTAATACATCATTATGTGAATTAACGTATATCGCAGTGCAAAAGTACAAGCCTTCGTCTGGACATCTAGCGTCCCTGATCGTCATGTCTATTTTCATTGTGTTTCTATTATTTAGTCTGTAAGGTAATCCATCTAACCGTCCAGAGAATTCAAAAAACCACGTTTTCATAGATGACGATTCTGGTTGAAACTAAAATAAACGTTAACATATAGATACAAACATGCAAAAACACACCCATACACAATAATATTTATATTCCCATCCACATCCGCATCCACGCTCACACCTAGAACCACATTCATATTCACGTTTTTATTGATATTTATAATTGTATTCTAATTCGTATTTATATTCATATTCATACTTATAAACATAATATTCAAAATATATTTATTTATTTACTATAATTAAAGAAGCGAAACATGCTTTTATTTTTAATATTTTAAATAGTAGTTTATTATCAAATATTTAAAGAAATGTATTTATTTTCTTACTTTAACTTCATTTGTACATAAACTCTTGTTATTTAGACGTATTTTTTAAATTTCATATATAAGTATCTTATCAAAATCGTAGATCCGTATAAACTTTTGAGCGATTTCCGATAACCGGAAGTGGTACTTTTCCTACTTTGAATTTTTTAAAAGCCTATAACTTGAGTATTATTTCAGATAGATAAATGAAATTTCACATATAAGTAAAAGATCTAATTCTCTACCCTACCTTCTGTCTAATTTTGAGTAATTTCCGTTGACCGGAAGTACTAATTTACGCTATTTCCGATTTCTCAAAAAACGCATGTAAATTTATAAAGTACTAATAATATTGCGCACTATTATGCACATTTTGTTTTGGCGTTCGCTTGGTGCGCAATTCTTTTTTCTATGAGATTTTATTCTATTTTAAAAGTTTAAGTAATTAAAAATCATGTCTACATTCCAAGTTATATAAGATAGTTCGAGAAAGTTTAGGGGAGATCACTCCCGGTTTATTTTAATCTGATTTCAAATTTTGATGAGTATTGCTATACTTATATATTTTTAGTCAGATTTAAATACGTAAGGTATAAACTATGTCAGAAACATATTCCTTTTTCAATCAATTCAAATATTAACTAATATTTAACAATTACTTTTTTAGAAAACATTAGTCAGACTAATTTGGAATAATTTTAAAAATGGTACATTCAATTATAAGCACTGCCCGTTAATATTACAAGGCTTTATAAAAACCAATTTTCATTAATATACTGAAAATAGATGAAATGTTGTTGAACATCGTTTCGCAAAAACATGATACATTCTAAGTAGAAGGCGTTCCTTACACTTGATTCATATGGCGATGTAAGCGTGTTGTAATCCGCTAAAGTAGTTGGCTCTTTAGTTCCATCTGTCCTTGCAATAGTCAGCCTTAAAATTGTCGTTGCATTTGTTGGAACACCAGCACGTGAAGCGTCACATGTCACAGTAAACGATGTTGTTACATTAACCACATTTTGTTTGAGGATTGTTTCACTACGCGGCTGACTAGCAATAGAAAGTAAAGATTAACACATTCTAGCTGTATTAACATTAGTAAAAAAAAAGCTAAACTTGCTAAACTTGGGCTCTTCATTTAAATCAAAAGCTATGTATTTGCTTTTGTCTGCCGCCTTTATATGAATCTTTCTTTCGGGCACCAAGGGGGCCAAAGTACAATGGAAATCTAATTTCTGTAGAATATATATACTTTAACAATGTCTTTCCGCCTACCAAAGATTGCAGTGCTTTACCCCCCCCCCCCCCCCCACCCTTGCCAACGGAGAATTTTTTTTGAAGAAACATTCTGGCTAGCAAGTTAAGTTTTCAAATATAACTCCTCATAGAATAACTATTTTATCTAAAGTAATGCCCAATGTTGACGTTTGAGATTAGTTACGTTTTGACCGACCGTTGAAAAGTATTTAAAATAATAAATATTTAAATACTAATATAGTTAGAATAAAATGTGTACGGTTTGTAACATTAAAAAAAATCAAAGTTTGTTTTGTGGTAATCCATACCTTGTATAGGCTGACTCTGTCCCTGAAAATATTGCAACCATTACAGTAGGGTGACGCCCAGGGTTTTAAACTTCTTTTTAATACAAGATGACAATAAAAAAAACCACTTCATTTATTTATCTTTAATATAACACCGCCTATTAATGATCAAAAGTAATCGGTATTCTAAAAAATGTTGTTTTTTTTAAAAACGCGTTGGTTTTTAAATGGCTATAATGGTTTAGGACTGTTGTGACGCGAATGAATGTTCTGTAGAAATGGGTGCTAGAGTTATTTCCATTAACACGGCTGGCAAAATGAGCTGGCTTAGTTGGCTATTGTTTCGATCAAGTTAGTTTTTTAATGAATTTTGTTTTACCCTGCCAAATTTTTTTTAAATTAGTGACATTAGCTTAGTACGACGTTTTAACTTTACCGTGGCCTAGCGGTAGAGAGCTAGACCGGTAGAACTGCCCGGAGCCCAACCAGTGTCCCAACTCTGACGAGTACCTGATTCTTTTTAGGGGAAATAAGGCGGATGGGTATAGTGATGACTACAATATCACTTTATATGGCGAGGTCACTGAAACGGATGAACTCTACTTCATCTGCCCGATTAGTCTTTGGCACGAACGGGAAAATATTACGAACACGACCCATCTGCCCGACCCACGTTTTTTGTCATCAAATGTATGTAAATAGTTATTTTCTACTTTTTAGTCCACAAGAAAAACGTGGTTTTTTAAAAAGTTTTTTTTAAGTATTTTATTTTCTCCTTTTTAGTCCGTTGCTACACATGAAAAACGTGGTTTTTAAAAAAGTTTTTTATATAGTTTATTTTCTACTTTATCTAATGACTTGATTAAGTATGAATTGACTAAGTGTTTATAAATACACGGACTAAAAAAATCTTGAGCGACCTGGATTCGAACCTGGGTTGTCGCGGTCACAACGCGAAGTACTAACCACTATACGATCACGGCCAGCGCGCTCACATCGATTGGGGCCGAAGTAACTGTGTCAACAAGCCTCCAGTCTTGTCGGTATCTTTAGAAATCATGTCCTCAATTTTATGGTCCTTTGGGCGTAATTAAATTAAGCTAATTACGGTCTCTAATTGCTAGTTTTTATGATTGCATCTGAAATTGTTAGGCGAAAGTAACCTGCATGCCAAATTTCAGATCATTAGAGCAATCAGAAGTGGGCTAATTTTCGATGTCAATTTTAACAACAAACACATCCACGCGAAGCTGAGTTAATAAAAACGTGTTAAAATGTACAAAAGGCAAGTTTATATTTGACACTAATCGTCCATAGTTGACGACAATACAAAAAAGTATGCAATCAATAGCCTATTACAGTAAAATTTAAAAATATTTTCACTGAATAAAATAGTTTACGTTTCACAAAAAAGACTAAAATGAAATATTTGTTTTAAATCTTAAATAATTTTTAGTTTTATAATACATTCAAGATAAGTTATCTTTCAAATTTTCAATATAGTTTTTACTCGTATCTTTTTATATGCAATATTCAGTACTCCATTCATTTAAATAGTCACATGTATCGTATTTTTACTTGTATAAAATTTAATTTGCTATTTTATCTTATTAACATAGTGACATCAAAATACCTTTTTTATTGTACACAGTAATGTTCCCAAATATTTTGTCTTTATTGTTTTCTGTCACTACACAAACATACATGTAGCCATCATATTTGTCTTCTGTTTGAAACTTAAGTGTTGACGAATATAGGTACTGGACACAGGTTGTCCCAGAACTAACTTCCACAGGTTCAACAACTGATCCAGAATATGGCGTAAAGGTGTTAAAGTTACTTAACCTGCTGCCAAACATCCAACGAATATTCAGATCTTTTGGTCCCTTCAATAGTGTATGGATATATATTTTAAAGAACAAGTTAATAATAGCAATATTATTATCATTACCCTGAGTACATTGTGTAAACAATATTTAACTAAAGATAAAATTAACTGTCAAACTAATTCAAACACAGATTATAAAGGTGCAACAACTATCACAGATGCAATATAGTGTATGTAATGTAAACATTATACTTCAGGTTGATACTAAGTTGAAGTACGAAGGTCCTTACCTCGATAATACAAGTGACATCAACGTCAGAACCAATTCGTATAACAGACTGAAATGGGCGTAGTCCAATTTTATCCCGAGTATTTGAATACAGCGAAACAAAAACAGGGCGTGCTAGTTAAAAAAATAAATATCTTTAATTTAAATATCTAGTTTTAAATATGGCTTACATTTAGAATTCGGTTAGTATGCCTATTATTATTGGGGTTATGTAAATGGCAACATAATATTTTCTTCAAATACTTGAGCAAAGCTAGGCAGAATGCATTGCAAAAAAAAATCTATAATATACTGTGTATATTATGTAATGTAAGTAGGTAATTAGAAGTACAAATCTCTACAAACACTCGCCTTTAATCGTGAGATTCTGGTAGCTATTTATTATTGAAACATTTTTATTAGAATTTAGGTATATGGCAGTACAAAAATACAAGCCAGCATCTGTACATTTAGCATCATAGACCACCATTTCTATTTTCATTGTGTTCCTGTTCTTTGGCTTATTTGATGTTCGTTGCAAGGTTCCAGAAAAACGAAAAGCCCATTTTCTTGCGGGGAAAGTTTGAGGTAAACGCTGAAGATATATATATATATATATATATATATATATATATATATATATATATATATATATATATATATATATAATATACATGTGTAAAGAAGTGAAAGCGTTACCTTAGCCTCGTATTGAGTACCATTATGTCCGTATCTTGCTAAAGGTTTAAGCTGTTGTGTACCATCTGACCACTCAATCATCAGCGTCCGAACTGTTGTAGCAGTTGTTGGAACACCAGCACGTGACGCGTCACATGTCACAATAAAAGTTCCTCCAGTCTCAACTACACTTGGGCTGATAAGCTGATCACTTATTCTTTGACTAAATAATATACAATATATTTGTTTAATTAACCCATATTCTGCTAGCGTCCCACTTATTTGACGCTTGTAAAAAAAATTGCTAAAATTTATTAAAAACTAGTTAAAACACAAATTGTGTTTCATTGTATTTGAAAATGGCTAGACTATTGAATTTGTGTGTGTTTTGTGAAAACAATTAATTTAGAAAAATGTTATAGTGCCGGATTTGCAGGACTTGTCAAAATGACGGAAAAAAGAAAACATGCGTACAGGAAAATGCAGATCTTCTAAAATATTAACATTTTAAGTGCAAAATACATTTGACACTTGTAGCAGTACCATATTTCTATCTGATAAGAATTTAAGAATAACAATTTTTTTTTACTGCTTCGTTATATCAAGTGTACAACAAGCGTCCCATAAGTGGGACGCTAGCAACGAAAGGCCCCATGTAAATTGTTACACAAACGTCACATTTATTGGACACTAGTGAGAATCACAGATGCAAATATTTATGTTAAATGGTTATTTATAGTGAAACAATTGTTGACTTTGTTAACTGTTGACTTTGGGGTGTTAAGTAGTATTTATAGATATTTAATTATGACCTTGAGCTATATTTTCTTATATATTATTGTATTAAAAAATTGAAAATATTGGAAAACTTACATTTTATTTTTAAGTTTTCAGAATTAAACTTACTGAAGAATTTAATACCATTGAATACAAACTAATTTAGTATTGCTGTAAATTTACTAGCGCGTGATATTAAAATTATAACAAACCAGAATAATAACAATGGCCACGATTTAGGTGAAATGATTCAGTCATGGGGGTTGGTTAACTCTCTTCATATAAGAGAGCTTAAGCTACATATAGCAGAAATGTGAATTAGCTGTGTACAGTTGTCATGCCCCAATAATATTCCCCTCCAAGGGTTCCCGATACCAGTTTTACTTGTTAACTTTTAAAGGAGATTCCTGGTGTTAGATTGGGAGCTGTTCGCATAGTGAGGTGCATACATGGATGAGAGCCATGAACACTCAATACAAGCCCCCAGAGACGGATCCGTGCCCTAGAAATAAGATGTCTGTTGTCCTAATGTACGCCTGTGAGGGGGGCGGGGGGAATAGCGAGGGTAACAAAAGAGAAGATGGCTGGATGACATCTGGGACTGGACCGGATCATATTTTGCAACTTCACTGAGGGCAGAGTTTCTTTCGGGCATCATTTCGGAGGAGAGGGGGGGGGGCTCTGCCCCCCAGAACAAAATGGAATTTATATACAAAACATACTTTTACCAATGTACACCCTTCCCCTGAAATTTAAGTCCCCACCCCTGAAAATTTCAAGTACGCCCCCCCCCCAAAAAAAAAACAATTATTTATATTTAATTATATTACAGTTTCGATGAATAATAACAATATTTGTGATCATGTATGTATAATTAGATGTACTAGTCACAGCTTTACTTATTTCCAAGTGTTTTTCACTTTGATGGATGCTAGATTGAAAGAAAATTAGACTTTTGAACATAATTTTTGCATTTTAGACCATGGTATGGCTAACCCAATTGATCATTTTCAGTATTTTTAGCTGTCCTAAACAATGTAATCATTGGTCTAACAATACAAAATCAGTATACCGTTTAATTTTTGCGTGATTAGCCATATTTCGTGATAAATGAATTTATTTTTCAATAAATGTACATGGGGCCGTTCGTTGCTAGCGTCCCATTTATGGGACGTTTTTTTAAAAATCGATATTTAAAAAAGTATTGATTTTTAAAAAAAATCCATAGTCATTCCTTCATTCAGTGCCCAAAAGCTAAACCATATCAAAAAATTATGAAAATTTGAGACCTTGGGATAATATTGGTTAATTAAACCAGTAGTTATTTACTGCAAGTATAGAATGCTTACATTTCATAGTTAACAGGGAGTGTAAATAATTTAGGTGAACATTGGTGAAAACAGTAATAAAACGGTTAGTTTAGGTATTCTCATAAATTAAAGACAGTAGAGGTGCAATTCGATATCTTTTACTTTCTTTAGACTAAAGATCTAATACACTTAATGTAATGCAACATTACTATGATTTTAGTACGTATTTTACACATCTGTTAACTTATTTTAAACAGATTTTAATTAAAGCTGTAAAACAAAACTAATCAAACCCTAAAATTGAATTTTCAAATAACTCAACTCATCATAGCTCTCAGTTTGTTATATTAAAAGAAAAGCATTTATGAGAAAATCAATACAAACTAGAACAATTATATTGTTGTCATTCATACCCAGTATGGGCTGCCTCTGTCCCTGAAAAAAATTTTAAAATTGTTTTTGTATTTAATTTATTTACACTTGTAAAAGAGGGTAAACATGAATGAAAACGGAGATTAAAAAAATGGATGCTAAAAATTTATGTTATCAAAACTTTACTAAAATAAAAATGTTGATTTTCACGATATCAATTATTGCGGAATTCTGTCATGTATTGATTAATTTTGGACTTGTTTAAACCTCCAACATAATATACTCTATTAAGAACGCAGGAGAAGAAGAATTAATTTTATACATTTCCTAACTACCTTAATTATTATCTAAATTGCATGTATCATTAAGTTTTAATTAATTTACAAAATACTGTTAGCCCGTTTAATATCACAGTTTAAGCGTGACATATAAATACCTATTTGTGTAAATATGGTCATGTTCCCAACAACAGTGTCCTTGTTGTTTTCTGTAGCCACACACACAAACATGTAGCCATCATAATTGTATTCTATTTGAAACTTTAGTGTTGACGAGTGACGGTATCGGGAACAAGCTGGTTCTACCTCGACTCTCTCAAATTTTGGGTTTAGTGCAGGGTATAGAGAAATGCTACTGAAATCATTTAATTTTCCAATTTTCCATTGAAAGGTTACGTTGTTTGATCCCTGAAATTATAGTCAACTACAGTAGAAACAATAATACAGACATGAATTATACAAGAGTTTTGGTGTAGATGGGAATGGGGTGATTTGTATTGTCAGTGTAAATACACAGTTTAATAGATAGATTTTTAAGTAAATAAAATATAAGTTAATTAATTACTTGACTATAAAGTTAAAACTATTCCATTATATTGAAATCTGGATGAGATATACTTAACGGCTGTGATGTGGAGTGGGACATTTTGTCCCACTTCTCGCCAAAGTTAGTATTTTTTTTTACATTTAAAAAATATCTACGTTATAATTAAAATAAAAAAAAAAAAAGATTCTATGAATAAAAATAGAATTTAACCTAACCATAGGAAAGTCAGAATAAATAAAATATAGACGCTGTCTAAGGGATTGTGAAGATACAAAATAATATTTTTAAAGAACTTCTTTGTGCAGCTTAAACTAACTAATTACTGGCGTAGGAAGTATGTTGTTGTTAAGATTAGTTTATGATGCTCTGTTTTTTGCGGGTACATAGAAATTTTGGTCTAAAAATATTCTGATTTTCACCACTTTCCCCTACATATTTTAATGGCGTAATTTATTTATTTTTGTTGTTATTACAGCTGTTTTAAATGTGACTGTACTTACTTCAATGCTGCAATATATAGTAACATTTGAGCCAGGTCGATGAACGGACTCAAATCGTCCCAGTCCAGTATTATTCATGGGATTTAAGTAGAAAGACATTATTCTTCCAACTGTTTAAATTGAAAATATTATGAGGCTAATGTATCTGCTTTTTAATCCCCTAAAATGTGCATTTCAAAAAGTATATTTCAAAGAGTGCATATCAAAAAGAGCATATCAAAAAATTCATTTAAAAAAGTGAATATCACAAAAGAAAATCATATTTCAATTTAAATTGTTACGCCGATAGTTTAGGCAACAGAACAATATGGTCCTTATTAAAGACAGGTTTATTTTCAATACATTCTTCACTTTTTAAAAAATGTTACTATAATATTATTTAATTATTTTAATTTTAATAACTCTTGTAAAAAAATTATCATTCATATTTGTTACACAGTAAAAGCCGTTATTTTTAAAAGTCGATTGTATACTGCAGTTAATATGTTCCGATTCAGAATGAAATATACTTGCCTCTGATAGAGAGATTCTGGTAAAAGCCGTCTGATTTTACTTCATTATCATTAGGGTTCATGTACGTCCCTCGACAAATGTAAGTGCCGGCATCTGCACATTTGGCATCACGAACAACTAATTCCATTTTCATCGTGTTCCTGTTTTTTGGCTGGTCTGCTGTACCTCTTAGGCTCCCTTCAAAATTAAAAGTCCAGTTTCTTACTGGAAGTGAAGGTGGTGGATACTAAAAATAAAAGAGAGAAGCTGAGAAAGTCCGTTTTAAATTATATATATATAAATATATATATATATATAAATATAAATAAATATATATATATATATATATATATATATATATATATATATATATATATATATATATATATATATATATATATATATATATATATATATATATATATATAGGAAAAAATATGTGATATTAGTTTGTATTGATGTTGAAAAATAATAATTATATAATTAGCATGGATTTATAATGTGCAGTGTAGTAGCCAAAACACAGGTATTTTAAATACCTTAAACTGATTTTATACGCTGAATGTAGGCTACTGTTAACTAATTATTATTTTTGATAATAACAGTATAGATGTCGTTCACTAAAAATTGAATCGGACGAGTCCGCCTGGGCCCCAGCAGGGTGCAATTTGGTGGCCCTTGTCTATCGTGTGAACGCTATGGCGTATACGTTAGCTTTAATGGGTGCGATAGGCTGTGGATAAGAAAGGTCACTGCAGTCTTTCACTAAATCGAATCTGGCTTGTCCTCTGTCGCCCCCACAGAGTGCTATGTGAATCCCCGCGCCTTTCCGTCAGCGCTTTGGAGACTATGTTCATTTTAAAGTATGCAATAAACTACGGATAAGTTTAAATTTTAGTCGTTCACGAAATCAAATCAGGAGCGTCCGCCGGCTTGCCAGCAGGGTGTGATTTGGCGCCCCGGGCTATACTGTAAACACTATGCGTTTATGTTTCCGTTTGTGTTTACATTTAGAGCTGTGTTTGCATTTGTGTTTCCGTTTGTGATAGTGTTTGTGTTTTCGTTTTGTGTTTGTGTTTCTGTTTTGGTTTGCTTTGCTTGTGGGTTCGGTTATGAGTTTGTGTTTTTGTTTTCTCAAACGTCCATATGTGCATATACACATTAATTGGAAAAGTAATATATTTTCTAAATACGGGTAATGCCGGGTGTATATATTGCTTAATATACACATAAGTCAGGGTTCTTTACAAATAGGTTTTTACAGAGGCTAGTGCAGGGCCTGACCGGGACGGCTAGTTTTAACATAAAAATTTGATAACGTTCAGTGTTTATTTTAATTGAAACGCTAGCCTTCCCGGCAAAGCCCTGCATTTGCCTCTGTGAAAAACCTATCTGTAAAGGACTTTTACTTGCGTGTTTAGTAATCAGCTTATACCCGGCAATGCCATTTATTACCACAACCAACCAAAACAAAAACACAAAAAAACGCAAACATAACACAAACGCAAACGCTATTACAAACACAAACAAAAACAAAAACGCAAACACAAACTCAACCACAAACGCAAAAACAAACACAAAGAAAACACAAACACAAATGCAAATAAAAAAGCAAACGAAAACAATCCAAATACAAACGCAAACACAAACCCGAACACAAACGCAAACATAAACACAAAGTGCTCACAGTCTATTCCGGGGCGCCAAATCGCACCATGCTGGAGCGCCGGCCAAACCGCCTGAATCAACTTAGTAAACGACTATAGTACCCCAACGTATTCTTAGTCTTTTACACTCACTTTAACCAACGTAGGTTACACAGGAAGGCCCGGGGCGCCAAATAAAACCTATCGGGGCGCCGGAGGACGCACTGATTCGATTCAGTTAAAGACTATGGGAACCTTTCTTATCAATAGTCTATCACAATAATTAAAACAAAATTATCCACCATAGCGCTCACAGAATAGCCCAGGACGTCAAATCGAACTATGACTGTGCGCTGGCGGACATGCTTGAGACAATTTAGTGAAAGATTATAATGCCCCAAATTTATCCGCAAACGGAACGATAGAAATAAACATAGTGGTCATGGTCATGGTCACGGTCATGGTCACGGTCATTTTATGGGCCAAAATAACCAACTTTTTAAATACAAATAAAAAATAATAGCGTGCGTTAGGATATATATATACCAAACAATCTATCTGTGTACGTGTACTCATAGGTGTTCGTGAGAATTTATACCTATGAAAAGATGTTACTGGCTCAGTTTTTAATTAAAATACTTACAGTTCTTTCGTATGGAGGTATAAATGTCCTAGAAATTGCTAAATCTGAATTTATTGTCCCACGTCTGTATGTAATAAATAAATTAGTAACTGTTGTAGCAGTTGTTGGAACACCAGCACGTGACGCGTCACATGTCACAGTAAAAGTTCCTCCAGTCTCAGCTACACTTGGGCTGACGATATCATTTCTACTGGTTTGTCCTTTCGCTAAAACGATAATCTCTCATTAATTTGTAAATATGCATACTATTACGAACACCACTATATCAGCCAGATAGCTGGCGAACGTACCCGGGTTCTTTTAGATGGTTATACACAGATGGCATAAAGCCCTATAAATGGAAGCTATCACAACAGTTAACGAGGACACGTACTTAACGTCTAGGGGATACACTCGATGAACTCCTGATGCCAACAACACATTTAATCCATATATAACTTTTAATATGTGTACAAATTCAAGGTACGACTCTAGCTTTATACAGAATAAAAGGAATGAGTAGAATATCAAAAACCCAACTTACAATTTGAGGAAAAAACACTATTTAACACTATCACAGGATATGGCACTCAAGAAAATCACCACAGCTTATACGACACTGCTTAAAGCACAAAATATTACTTAAAACCACAAGTAATAAAGGAAAAATGCTGCTTAAAACTATAGGCTACAAAATAGCGACACTCAAGGCTTTCTCTCTCAAAGATGTCTGGTCTGACTTGCTGCTACGGACTGCTGCGGTGGACTCTCGCAGAAGTGTGTGCGCAGACCCTTTGACACCTGAGGCACGGGGAGGTCACCTTCAAAACGCGAGACTATTGGTTGGGACAACTCTGATGTCCGAATCAACCAATCGAAAGTATAAAAGTATTGCACCACCACTCGTGATGGAAAAGTACTAGGGTATATGTCTTTTTTAGAACTATGGAAAATTACCTGGTGGTTGCACCACAGTCACTCATGGTTGAGCAATAAAAGTCAAACAAGAAAATTACAAGACCTAAGTAGGTCACATCCCCTCCCTTTTGAAAAGGCAGATTTGTCCACACAAAACATACATAAGGAACAAATCTGGCGTAAAAAAAATTCAACAAATGAAGCGAACAAAAATTTCAATACCAGGAGAAAACATCCCTGGAAATCAAAGGGAAGTAATTCAACCCTTTACAATACCTGAAAGGGGGATAACCCTTTCAAAAAATAATAATACATCAAAGTCCCTCAAACAGGGGTAATACAATATCTCCATGTGGATAAAATAGGTGGGAAACCCGACAGGGTAATTCCTTTATTTCAATGACTAGATACAACATCAACTGAGTCATAAGGTATATTTTATGATAAAATATTACATATACTGAAAAACCACCTTTAAATAAGGTTCCTTTGAAAATAATAAGAATCTTTAACAAGTTTGAAGCGTTAGGAAAAAAAATGTAACCTCAGACCACTCATTTTCATGAGACTGTGTAGATACTTTTTTTTTTATTTTTTATTTTTTTTAATACTTTTATTTGCAATTAAAACAAGTACATCAACATCACATTTTTTACATAGTTTCAAAAGAAAACGAAAGGTTTTAAACATGTACATAATGAATATTTACATGATGTCATGTATATGATTTTAACAAAAATTACAAAAGATGGCAGTAAAAGGGGTGAAGGTCAAATAAAAGTGTCAGAAGTCTGGGTGGGGAGTGGAAAGGATATTTTTCCGAGAATGACAAAGGGCCAGTGGAGCATTTTCAATGTAGGGAAACAAATTAAGTTGACTAGTTAAAAGAGTGTTTATTTATGTACTGGTCGCATTGAGTTTTCAAAAGGTTGCTGTGTAAAAAATGAGGGGAAAGAAACAAGATTTGGAACTTTAAAAAGTAAATGAATAGATATTCGAAATTGATGTTGGGGTGGGTGGTGGGGTCGTTGGAACAGTTAAAGGGAAAGTGGTGTTTTCATGTCTGAGGGTAAGTGGATAGAGGGGGAGAGGGGGGAGTGGGTAGATGTGTCTGACGAGGCGTGGAGAGGGTGACTGCGTGTTTTAAGGCAAGCCAAGCGTCAAATTTTGTGCTGTGTTATCTGACTGCTGAGGTGTTACCATTTGTAGTGTGTGGGTGGGGGGGGGGGGGAGGGTTTGACGAACAGATTTCTGTGTGAGCGAATTAGTAGGAGGGTGAAAGGTTGGTATGTTCAAGTCGGTGTTTATGTTTAGATGAATGTTTAGTACCGACAGGTTAGGGGTGGGTAGGCGTGTAGCTATCACGTGTAGGGATACAGTGGAGTTTTATAGATAAAAAAAATTGGTGTTCACATAAAAGA